ACCTCTAGGCTAAACTCTCACTCCCACAATGACTATTTCTTAAGGATTGATTCCTTAGGAGAACATTTAGCAGATAAAATTTTAGAGCACTTGAAACAAATTCTTTTTAAGAAAAGGTGTCTGTTGTTCATTTTGTTTTGTGGTTTTTCACTTAAGGAGATGTATAGTAACTGTATAATGGAGACTATCATCTCCAGTGGCGTGTTGTTTAACTTAATGGCATTGTAAATTTGTTTTTCTTCCTGTGATTGGTTTTGTTTTGTGACTTTTCACTTGGGGGGATTCATAGTGACTGTGCAGTGGAGACCAGCATGTCCAGATGTGAGGATACGGTGCAGTGTGCATCTCTACTTCCAGATTGAGGATGGAATCCTTGTGAAACTGTTGGATGTGCCTTGACAATGGAATGCTGGACTCTCAGCCATTGCCCATGCCCACAATAACGGATCATTTATTTATGAGGAACTTTGTTGTTGTAGTGCTATGGGGAAACTCAGGGCGGCAGGGGAATGAGGGGAGGGAGTAGGGGAAATCCTAGGGCCTATGATCATAAAAATATGATCATAATAATATGGAAAAATTAAACTTCAACATATTTAGAGAGAGAAAAAAACAAGTTATCTAAAAAAAAGAAAAGAAAAGGTGGATAGGGCCCAGTATGGTAGCCTAATGGCTAAAATCCTCGCCTTGCGTGCACCAGGATCCCATATGGGCCCCTGTTCTAATCCAGCTCCCATCCAGCTTGTGGCCTAGAAAAGCAGTCAAGGACGGCCCAAAGCCTTGGGACCCTGCACCTGTGTGAGAGACCCAGAAGCCTATGTCTCCGGACTTTGGATTGGCTCAGCTCCAGCCATTGAAGCCACTTGGGAAGCGAACCAACAGACAGAAGATCTTCTCTGTCTTGCCTCCTCTCTGTATATCTGACTTTCTGATAAAAATAAATAAATAAATCTTTTTTAAAAATGTGAACAATTTTTTAATGTCTCATATTCTTCCAAGCACTGAAAATGCTTTTTTTTAGAAGAGATTTGTTTTATCTTTATTGGAAAGTCAGATATACAGACAGGGGGAGAGACAGAGAAGAGAAACATTTGTCAATCTGATGATATTAAATGGCTACTGTTCTTTCTATATTTGCATTATTATGGCTATCATAGCTTAACGAGAAGAATGACAAAGCAGAAAGTTCCTAAGGCAGCCTGGGAAGGTGATGGGGCTGTGGACTCAGGTTTTGTGAGGAACAACGAATAGACCAGGAATGTGTACTTGAGGAGAGTCGAGGGACCAGTCGGAGGAAAGTAAGCAAGTATTTCTCAGGAAGTACTTAGTCATCACCCAGGGAAGGACCTGGCCTTTTGCTTGAGGGTACCAGAGAGAAAGGAAAGGACCAAACTCCATGTGGATGGAGCTCTTCCCAGAGGAAGCTCGGTGTGAGAGAAGGCCTTTTTCGAATTAGCGTGGGGAAAACAGGGCTTCTGCCCGGTGAAGCAGGCTGCCTTCTCAGCCATGGCAGTGATGGAGAAAATACAGGAGCACACCGCACAGGTAAGGGCACACAGAGTTCCTGCTGCAACTGAGAGTTTGGACTAAGCAATCTTAAATCCAATAACCAACAAAGTCCTAATTCTGCTTTTCTCATTCTGCCTCCTTCACATTTTGATGTTTTATTTGCTCCTGTGTATCCCTGAGAATAGTGACTTATCCTAGTAGGTGTACAATCAAGGATGAGAGAAAGAAGCCACTTATTCATAAGCACACAGTGAATAACCTTTAAATGCACATGAACACATCATGGATGATAGCAGTGTTACAGAGATGACAAGTGAGATTCCGAGCAAAGGACGTGATTGGCTCCTTCACCATGCTAAAGTGATTCCTGGCCAGTACAACATTATGATTACCCCCTTTAATGAGTAGCTAACCAGTGCCATCCCAACTGGAGAGGCTAAACAAATAGAAGCAATACTCATTATAAAGATTCTATTTGTCTGCTCTTATCCCTCCACCAAAACACCCAAAGGCAATTTACAGAATAGTAATGAAAACATGTGCTATAAGAAAGAGATACACAGCACAGAACAGTGAGAAGGCAAAGGAGCAGAAGGAGGGCGAGTTTGAAACAATGTCGCCTTCATCAAGGTAGCTAGCAGGTGTGGGATGCCATGCGAAAAGGCTTAGCTGCAGAGTGACACATCATTGTAGTGAACTACATTTGAAGAAACAATGGGCAGAATGAAACAACTGAGATGAGAAGACAGCTGAGAGGCTGTTGAAATGGTTAAAAGATAATCATAACTCCCATGATGGTTTTGGAAATTGCCAAACGGCCTTGTAACTGCAAACTGACATTTCACAATGGTTAGTGTAGGTCTCTGATATCCCTCATTTTCTCTTAAAATTTTTCCCTCCCACATCATTTTGGCCTACACTCCTCTTTTCTTGTTTAAAGTTACGTAATAGAATAAAGAAGCTGCATTTGTCAATACTTCTAATGAATTTGAAAGAAATGTTTCAATAATTCATATGAAATAGAGAATAAGTTCTCAAAGAATATTAACACTAAAATATCACCTGATTCTCTCTGTTTGCTCATTCATTCCATAACTAAAGGTTGGTTAATTAGAGGCCGGTGCAGTGGCTCAACAGGCTAATCTTTGACTTGCCATGCCAGCATGCCATATGGGTTCCAGTTCGTGTCCCAGTTGTTCTACTTCTTATCTAGCTCTGTTTATGACATGGAAAAGCAGCAAAGGATGGCCCAAGTCCTTGGGCCCCTGCACCAACATGGGAGACCTGGAAAAAACTCCTGGCTCCTTGCAGCCATTTGGGAAGTTTGCCAGCAGATGGAAGCTTGTTTCTCTCTCTCTCTCTCTCTCTCTCTCTCTCTCTCAATTTTTCCTCTCTGAAAACCACATTTCGGGCCCGGCGCAGTGGCGCAAGTGGTTAAGGTCCTCGCCTTGAACGCCCAGGATCCCATATGGGCGCTGGTTCTATCCCCTGCAGTCCCGCCCGCTTCCCTTCCAGCTCCCTGCTTGTGGCCTGGGAAAGCAGTCGAGGACAGCCCAAAGCTTTGGGACCCTGCACCTGCGTGGGAGACCCGGAAGAGGCTCCTGGCTTCGGATTGGCATAGCATCGGCCGTTGTGGTCACTTGGGGAGTGAATCATTGGACGGAAGATCTTCCTCTCTATCTCTCTTCTCTGTATATCTGCCTTTCCAATAAAAAAATAACAAAAATAAATCTTTAAAAAAAAATAATAAAAGTAAATCTTTAAAAAAAAAAGTTCATTTTCTAAAAAAAAAAAAGAAAACCACATTTCAAATAAAAAGAAATGAATCAAACAATAAAAGATTAATTACTGGATCCTAGACATTAGTGACACAAAGATGAATAATAAGTACAAAATTTCTAACTCATATGATTTATACATTTTCATAGTCATGACATGAAATAGTATGGAGGTTCCTCAAAAAATTGAAAACAGATCTACTATATGACCCAGAAGTCCCACTACTAGAGCCTTTCAGTATACTCAAAGGAAATAAGTATGTGAAAGAAAATATTTACATGTCCATGCTTACTCCAGCACTATACACTATAACCAGGATATAGAAACAGCCTAAATATACATCAGTGGATCAATAGATAAAGAAAATTTGATATGTATACAACAAAGGAATATTTCTCAACTATACAAAAGAATGAAATATTTTTACAACAACATGGATGAGCTCAGTAGGACATGAAATTAAGTAATATACACTAGGCAAAGCAATTCAACAACTGTGCATTGTCACTTAGCTGTTGTTCTCTCTTACGCAGAGAATAGAATGGTGGTTAGCAAGCTCTGGGCAAAAAAAAAGGCCGATAAGGAGATGTTAGTTAAAGGATCCAAAAGTTCAGTTAAACAGAAATTAACCCAAGAAATTTCTTTGTGTGGTCACTAAAATCAATGTCAACGCAATGTGTTCTCAAAAATCACTGAGAGATTTGTTATTTCACATAAAATACAATAATTACATGAAACAAGGCATATGAGCCATTCCACAAAGTATACATTTGAAACCATCATTTTGCACATGATAAACATATAGAATTATTTGTCAATTTGAAAATATTACTTTCCTAGGAAATAAACACGAACTTTCTGGATCATACTTCACAATCCTTTTAATTTCAAGATCGTTTATTTCACTGAGCAACAAGATGAACACACAGGAAATGTAAAGCAAGGTGGTAGCTTGCTCTACAGAGAAGGGCTGTGGGGTCAGTGCTGTGGCCTAGGAGTAAAGCCACTGCCTGTGACATCTAAATCCCATTTAGGAGCTGGTTTGAATCCCAGCTCTATTTCCAATTGAGATCCCTGTTAAATGTGCTTGGAAAACCTGTGGGTCTTGCTACTCACCTGGGAGACCTGGAGGTAGCTCCTGGCCCTGGCTTTGATCTGGCTCAGCCCTGGCCATTAATGTCGATTGGGAGATGAGCTAGCAGATGGAAGATCTCTCTCTCTTTCTGTATAATTTTGCCTTTCAAATAAATAAATCTTTTTTTTAAAAAAGAAAGGCTTAAAAAAAACATGGCAATGAAATGGAAATCTAGTAATCTAGATGAAAAAAATGACTTGGAAGGGAGGGCATGTCAAAGAGGATGATATGTCAAATAGGATTTTTAATGGTACTTTTTGGCTTAGAAGGGATGTGATTGAGGATTTTCTGTCTTCTCCCCAAAATTCTTCAGTAAAAGCTCAATGTTCATTAGTGATTTGAAACACTCATGAAATAGAAATAATCATTAGTTATGTTCTTTGGCTAGCAAAAATAAAGAGATAGCCTTATAATATTCTCCCCACCCCCCCAAAAAAAGAACCCCCCCCCCCAAAAAAAAGAGAGAGAGATAGCCTTGCTGGTCCAGGATACAGTGATATCTGACCTGGTAGTTTCATGTCCTTACAGTGACGATCAACATCTCCCAATGGTACTTACATATGATCAAGCAGCAGAGATGGAGTACGACCTCCCTGGCCGGTTCCCTGCACACTGTTGTGATTCAATTAACCGGATAGCAGCTTTCCAGCTGCACATTGCGGATGCTTATTTATCCATGGTTTGTCATTACAATGCAGAAGACCGACTGCCCGCTTTGGCCTTGTACTTCAATGACCATGCTGAGAGGAAGAGGGAGAATGCCAAGAGATTCCTAAGATTTCTGAGGAGACATGAATGCCGTGTCCTCCTTCCATTTCTTAAGAGGCCTGATCAGTGGGTAACTGGCATGAACGCCTTAACGTATGCACTAGAATTGGAGAAAGAATTATACGACATGCTGCAAGACCTGAGGAGTACAACTTCTCTCATAGGTGAAGATGAACTCTTTGACTTTTTGCAAATGTTCGTTGATGAACAGAGAAAGAACATAACTTTTCTGGAACACGAATTGGCCCGAAGCAATTCAGAAACGCCTGCTGTGACTTTTGGTGAACATAGTGAATCCCAATGTGAGCAACATAACCCTTGATTACTTCTACTTGCCTGAAGTGTTTTTTTTTTTTCTCCTCATTGTTGTGCATTCAAATAAATCTACTTCGTATTAAAAAAAAAAAAAAAGAGATCTCGATTTTCTCTTTAATGAAAAATTAAATTCTTGAAGCTTGTTAACCTTATTTCTTTCTATTTCCTTATTCCCTCGTTTAATTTGTCAGCATAAAGTCAGTTTCATAGAAAAGTGCTCTCCACCCCAGGGTGCAGAGGCATTTGGGAGCCTGGTGTGGCTTTTTTCCTTGTCTCCCCACTTCTCCAAGATATAGGAAGGAAAAGGAGAATGTGGAAATGGTGATCTCACCCACCTTCTTGTAGCCCTTAACATTAATCACCCTAATAAACTATGTGAAAAATCATCACCAATAAAAATAATTATTTTTATTTTTAAAAAATGTTTTCCTTTGCCATGGTGTGGTAGGCTAACTTTCTGCCTATGGCACCACCTCCACTTCTAGGTTAACTCCCTGCTTATGGCTGGAGAAGTCAGTGGAGAACGGCTCAGGTGCTTAGCCCTGTTGCAGTCATTTGGAGAGTGAATCAACAGGTAGAGAACCTCTCTCTGCCTCTACTTCTGTCTCTGTGACTCTGCCTTTCAGATAAAAGTAAAATAAGTCATTTCTTCAAAACATAAGGAAAAAAACCTATTGTTAGTTATTTAAAACAGTTTGAGTTGTAGTTCATAAGATATTACGATATTATTACGCGCAGCTAATTCCTGCAACCTGGTTCTTTACCGTGAGCTGAAAACGCCAGAGGAAACGAGGTATCTTAGGTTTATTCCAGTGCGGCAGGAACAGGGTGGAGGTGGTGGAGAGAAAAAGGGGAAGAAGGGGAAGAGGAAGAGGAAGGGGGGGGGGGAGGGAGGCAGGAAGGAGAAGAGAGAGCCGCACCTGGGGGCCTTTTTGTCTGCAAGGTGTGGGGCATGGGGATTGGGAGGGATTGAGGGCAGGCCCCAGGGGATTGGTGCCTGCAGGTGAATGCCTAGGGATGATTGGTGAGTGGGCGGGGTTGGGGAAGGGGCTGGAAGATTGGGGGTGGGATTCTCAGGTGGAATGCCAGATTACATCTGATTGGCGATGGCTGGACTGGCGCAAATTTCGTGAGCTGTGAGGAAGAGGAAATGACGCCAGTTCCAGGGTGGGATATTCAAATAATTCCTTATTCCTATCTTCTTGTCTTTCATACCAAAATCCTTGTTTTGCAATGCTGCACCAGTTACATCTTGTTGCATCAGTCAAATATCAATTTAAGCATCTTTTTTTGTGTATGTGTCTATTTTGCCAGCTAAAATTGGAATTTTTTTTCAGGATAAGGACTATGTCTTACCCATCTTTTTTCTTTTTAAGATTTATTTTATTATTTTTATTGGAAAGGCAGATATACAGAGAGGAGAGACAGAGAGGAAGATCTTCCGTCCGATGATTCACTCCCCAAGTGAGGGCAACGGCCGATGCTATGCCGACCCGAAGCCAGGAGCCTCTTCTGGGTCTCCCACGCGGGTACAGGGTCCCAAAGCTTTGGGCTGTCCTCGACTGCTTTCCCAGGCCACAAGCAGGGAGCTGGATGGGAAGTGGAGCTGCTGGGATTAGAACCGGCGCCCATATGGGATCCTGGGGCATGCAAGGCGAGGACCTTAACCACTGTGCCACCGCGCCAGGCCCTGTCTTACCCATCTTGATGACCCCAACAGCACCTGTTATACTGTAGTACCAGTAAGCCTTCACAAATATCTATGGATTAGTGAAGTAGGAAGGAAAAGCTTCACTCCTGAGGACATATTTGCTTCATGTACAACCAATGAGCATGATTCTCCAGTTACTGACTGCAGATTCATTGAATCATTCTTTCATTCATTCAACAAGGCTGCTCACATTCTATCCTAAATGCCAAGAAGATATTCTTGATTCAGAAGGTAAGTACCCTCATGCTTTACCTACTTCAAAAAATGCTATAGCTTCCAGCCACAGAACAGTGACAAATGATGGAAAGGCAACTGAAATGGCATAACCATGTTACCACCTGTGATGTATACTTCCATGACATTAAGCTGGAGCATACCACTTAAATACTCAAAAGCATCGTATAACTTTGCATACCACTTAAAATAGCAACCAATCAGGACATAAATTGCTGGAGTCCAGTTCCAGCTTGAGTTTGGAACTAGAGAAGGGTGTGTGGATGAGGCGTGAAGAGGAAAGAAATGGACCACTACGATTTCATGGTCATAATGCACAATGCGGGAAAGCTGTCCACTTTATTTATACAGAAACATTCAAACTCTGGCTCACACTTTTTACATCATAGTCAAGAGGGGTGTTTCTAAGGATACTTCTGCCATTTGTTTCATCTAAAAACTCTAGAAGTTCCTGCTATAATTCTTATTCTACAACTCAATCTTATACCACAAAGAAAAGGAGAACCTAAAGATTAAGGAAAGACTGAAGTCCTAAATACAGGTCCCTTGATTAGCATAAGGTAAATGGGACAGCCAAGACAGTACGAATAATAAAAGGACTTTTGCAAAATGTTATTATTGACATTAACCTTCAAGCTCACATTGAGTAAAAAAGCCAGCTCCACAGTAGCAAACAATGCCTGATTAGAATTCTTCCACAGGGTGATCCAGTATCCATGCAAAGGAAGGTGGAACTGCTTTCAGGTGGTTGTAGAGACATTCGTCTGACCCTGCCATACAGCAGAAAGTTCCTTGCAGCCCTGCTTGCAATGGAACAATACTCTTCACACCTTCATGTCCCCCACATCCACTGCACAGACCCCAACAATAAATCATCTGGCCTTGGCATTTCCCAGCCTCATTTTCCTTTGCCTCCCCGTAGTCAACTCCTTTCCAGCAATACCTTACCATTTGTAAACAAAGTCAGCCAACCCCACCTTAATGCTTTTGCACTGCTGTGCCTCTATGTAGGGTCTTTTTCCCTCAATTCATTCTGCTCCCACATCATCTCATCAGATTTGTGTGTGGAAGTCCTATATAAAACAGTATTTCCACTGTCTCTGTGCCCCTATTTTAATGCTACACATTTCTTTTATTTCTGTTTACTATCTTTCTTCATCCTGGCAATGTCAGATACTTGAAGCTACAGTCTGTGTCAAGTTTGCTTATTGTTGTATCCCCAGCACATTGTGGCCATAAATAAATAAATAAATAAATACAAACAAACAAAATATTTGCTGTGATGGAAAATGAATCTTGGCGATTATTAAGACTTGCAAAATCAAGTTGGATTCTATTGTGACAAGGTGCAGCTGGATCTACACCACTCTGGGGATAGGGGGAGCCCCCATGTGTCACAGCTGGACAAAACACAGGGTTTCATAATTTACTATTGGCCTTTTCTTCACATCACTGTATGTGCAGGTAAGGTAGAATTATGCTCAGCCAATTAATGTAATAACTGTCCCCAAAAGCCATAACAGGAATTCAGCCAAAATAGCATTACATAATTCAAAGTTGGCATAGCTTAAAACTTCAAAGGCAGAAAAGTGGAATTTATAATTCTTTTTGCCACCTCAGTTTTCCCATTGTGCCAAGTATGAATCATCTGCACAGTATTTTAAGCAGCTTTGCCCCCATAGAGATAACTAGCTTGCCTCTTTCTTTCATCTATACCTTGAAAGATATCAAAAGACCATAAATACACCCAAACGTTTAATTTGCTGAATCTAATATGTGAGAATTTATCCTCTAGTTCTCTTTTATTTTGAAGTACTAAGAGAGATTTATTCTATGTTCTTATTTTAAATATTATTTATGTAGTTAAGAGAGATGTACACCCATGTGATTCAGGTGGTGAGGGTCAAAATATGGAGGAAGATGGGTGGGACAAATGTTTCAATTTATTTTTCTCCTGTGTCCACTGAGGGGGAAGCGGAGGTGGCTGTTCCTTGCTGACAAACTACATCAGCACTTGAGGGTGGGAATATTTGATAATGCCTTAGAGATCCCGATGTGGAGAACAGTGTTCTGAAGGTGTTGTTACTTGAGTGGTGTTGATAATTATGATAGGCCATTGGCTTCATTGCACCATGGATGAGAAAATCTTTCTAAAATCTATTGGCTGACCAAGTCCACCTTAGCGCATCCACAGGCCCAGGAATATGTTGCAAATGATCCAAACAGTTCTGCTTTCCATAATCTACCAAGGCACTTAACCTCCTCAGCTGTTCTAGATGAACCGGCCGTCATGTCCCCTGTGTTCATTGTGACGTGTTGACCACTGCACAGGCATCAGCAACTGAGGAGGTTCAGTCTTAATACATGCACTCCAAGGTTGTACCACGTATCTTGTAATTTTTCCTGTGGCTGGATTTTGAGTCCAGCAATCTAGATGGGGAGTCCCCAAGAAATATTGCCTAGAGTGGCCTCAGACATGACTCTTGTGTGCACCAGCCAGTGCAGGGTCAAGTTGGGTACATCACTTGCACCACCAAAAGCACATACCGATGAATGCAACTGCCTAGTTAATTCTGTTCCAGACCATCTCTCATGTAAACCGATGGGTACCGTAGCCCAGCCCAGGCCAGCCTGTAATAGGCTCAAACTTCATTCATACCAGCAGGTACCATGGCCTAGTCAGACAACCCCCAATAACTTTCACTAGCTCAGCCTCCAGACACATTTTTTTGCATATGCTGGCATGTGCTGAAGCCTAGCCTGTTTTGTTCCATAACCCATCTTGCTCTCACGCATACTCATGGGTGGGATAGCTTAGCTCAGCCTGATCTACCCCTAAACCCAGTCCACATGCATGCCAATAGGTACTGCCACCTTGACCAACTTAGTCCACCCCCAGCCCTGGTTCCTATGCTCATTGGCAGGAAATGCAGCCTAGCAGAGAAGTGCCCAAAGTTCCCCGAGCAGGCCCGCCCAGAATCCTGGATGTTGAACCTGTCAGAAGGTACTGTGATCCATCCTGACATGACTTGAACACAGTACTGGCACTTGCCAATGAGTGTGGTACCCTAGCCCACCTAGCTCATCCCCAGACTGGCCATCCCTCATACTCTCACTGGTCTGCTCTAATGTTTACCAGTGGAAGCAACAACTCAATAAAAGAGTTCCTGAAGTTCCCCTTCCAGACCCTTTCCCAACCCTAGGTCTTGTACATGCCAGTGAGTGCTGTGGCTCAATCTAAGCTGGCCCACCCCCAGGTTGAGCATTCACCAGTAGGTGCTATAGCCTGGCTCAGCCCAGCCTGCTCTCAGTCCCATCTCATGCCATTATGTGCAGTAGTGTAGCCCAGTCTGGCCCACCCTCAGCCCTTATGTACACTGGCAGTTTTGTGGTTCAACCAGCCTGGCCTATGCCCCATCCTGTTTCGCACCCATGCCAGTGCGTTCTGTAGACTGGCCTAGCCGAGCCATTCCTAGATCTGGCCCACACATGTGTTAATAATGAGTGTTGCAGCCTGGGCTGCTCTGGCCTGGCTGCCCCCAGCTTCAGGTCTCACAGTCACTAGTAGGAGCTACAGCCTACAAAGAAAGTTCCCTAAGTTCCCTTATGAGACCTACTTCCAGCCCCAATATCATGCATACCAGCAGGTCTGTGTCCCAGAATAACATGGCTTGCCCCTCATCCTGGTACTAACTGACCATTACTGTGGCCTAGCCTGACTGGCCCACACACATTCTGACCCTTACCCGTGAGTGTTACAACCTAGCTTAGCCTGGTCCACCCCCAAGCCCAGCTTTCATGTGACCCAGCAGGTGTCGTAGCATAACTTGGCTTGTCCCACACCCATTCGGCTCTCACATGCACTAGCAGGTGCTGAAGCCTAACCCAGCCTAGCCCACCTTCAGACCCAGCCTACATATATGCCAATAATTGCTACTGCCTTGACCTGCCTGGTCTGCCCACAGCCATGATATAACCCAGCCTGGCATAACCCGCCTACAGCCTCAGCTGTCTCTGGTAAATGTTGCACCCTAGCCTAGCTTTGCATAGCCCATACCCTTTCCTGGCTCTAATGGGTGCCAGGTGCTGCAGTCCCAGAAGTGAGCTTACATGTCCCCTGTAGAATCTGCCCTCAGATCTGGTTCTCTCGAATTCTGGTGGATGCTATGCCCACCCTGATGTGGCCCAACCCCTACAACATTAGTGGGCAGGTATTGCAGACTAGTCCAGCCAGGCATGCCCTGCTGTCCCAGATTTTGTTTGTGTAGATGATGGCAGGCAATGTTATTATCCCAATCCTGGTTTCCCACATGAGTGGATGCCTTGGCCTCACCCAGACATGCCTTTGTTTTCCTCACTCTAAACCAGTCAGTCTCAGGTTCCTTATCTACCTGCAAGTGCAGTGGCTGAATACATGGAAACCTCCAGAAGTAATTCCTTTTTTGTCAAACATGTCTTCAGCCATTCCCACTCCAATATGTCACCAGACCCCCTTCGCTGGGAAATCTGCATCCCTCTGCTTGGGAACTGTGGCGACAGGTCCAAGCCCAGCATTCTCTCTTCCTCATGTATCTTTTTAAAAAGAAAAATAGAATGGGCAATTATGATGGCACACTGGTATAGCTAAATTTGACAATACCAGCCCCAGAATGCCCACCAGCTATTGGTTACTTTTCTTACAGCAGTGTAACACTTGCCTAGGTACAAGGTAATCTAGGCAGTTGCCTACAGCTGGGTACTAATGAAAGTACTAATAGTGCTCTTATTATTGGTCAAATATTGATGCTTTCCAGCATTACTTGTCCAAATGTTGGTTCAACTTTGCCCCCTAGAGGAGAGTAACCAGAATGCCTTGACAGTATTGAGCATGATGTTCATAATTCTGTCACTGGTTTTTCTGGTTGACTCTCTTTTTCTATTTTATTTACTGCTACACCATTCAAAGTGTGTCAGAAATTATCTTCTCAAGCAAAGAACCCTCTTAGGCATTTCAGACAGGGCAAATACTAACTATAAATACAATTTTCATTCAGAGAAAGTAATAAATTTAAGTGTACTTCAAAAAGTTTGTGGAGAAGTAGACTTCTACCCTAATGGTTAGAATATCCATGTCTCATATTAAAATCCCTGGCTTTCATAGTTGGCTCTAGCTCATGATTCCAGTTTCCTACTTATATAGACAAAGGGGACAAAGCAGTGACAGCACAAGTAATAGGTTCCTGCCATCCTTATGAAAGACCTGGACTATATTCCCAGTTCCAGGCTTTGGCCCTGGCCAAACTCCAGTCCCAGCCATTGCGGGCATCTGAGGAATGGATCAATGGATAGGAATGTGTTCTCTCTATATCCATTACTTCCCCCTTCTTTTCATATAAATAATAAAAATTTAACTTTAAATGTATGGAAAATGTGGATTATGGGAAAAAAAACTGCACATGAATTTCAAAAACTTTTGGGACCAAACTAAACCTAACTACCCCTATTAAAGAAGTTGTAAAATACTCCATGCCCATCTTTCTCTTCTCCCAAAAGCTCATTCCCATCCACATTACTCACATACTAACTTGGGACCTGCTTCTAAAGGAAATTGTAGATCTTGCCTCACATGAAGAGCATGAGCTGGGCTCAGGTTCTAATTCAGCCACTGTCCTGACAAGCCATAGAATTTTCCTAAACTTCTGTTTTCTCAACCACAAAATGAAAAAAAAAATAGCTCTGCAATGGTGAATTTTAGATGTTGACTGGGTTAAAGGATACCCAGATAGCTGGTACAGCATTGCATCCGAGTATGTTTGCACCAGTGATTTTTAGAAGAGATCGCTAATTCAAGCAGTGGATTGTGGAAGATACACTTTTTCATTCACTGTGTCAGGTGTCACCCAATTGGCTGAGGTTACAGGTAGAGCCAAAAGCAGAGGATGGTAAATCCTGTGCTAGAACTGGCATGGTCTTCTCCTGCTCTTGGACAACAGAACTCCAGGACCTCCATGCTTTGTGCTCAGGTTTTATACCAGTGCAATTCCCAGGTTCTCAGGCCATTTGCCTCCTTGGACTTGAGTTGTAGCACTGGTTTTCTGATTTTTGAGGCCTTTAAACTTGGACTGAGTTGAGCACCAGTCTCCCTGATTCTCTAACTTGCAGGTAGCTTATTGTTTAATTTTTCAGCCTATTCAACTAATAAGTCTCATTTCATCTCTCTCTCTTTGTATCTGTTCTAATGGTCAGGCTCTGGAGTAGGGATCTAATACAGGGTCCCATCTCAGAGTGGTAAGGATTGTTTTAGGTACTGCATGAACACATTCAATGTAGTACTTGACAAGTCGATTTTCAGTTTGCTTTAAATAATAGCCATTTAATATACTTACAGAAGTACTTCTAGTAAGGAAGCAAACTTAGAGTTACATCAATGACTTTTATTTAAGACAATCTGCAAAGTTGACGTACATGGGAGAGGGGTGGATGTGATGTGTAGGTGGCTCTTTAAATACTTTTATTTTTACATTTTCAAAAATTACTTTTCTCTATTAAAATACCTTTTGTTATTTTCATTGCCTTAAAAGGACACACTCAGCTAAGTCACCAGAATCAGGTGGAGTGTGATGCAAGTTACCCAAAGGAGCAGCTGTACCCACCGCCCACCTCAGACACCAGCATCTGCAGAGACCTTTCCCAGCTGCCACGAGGCATCCTGAGGAGTACAACGCCCTGCGGATCTGTCATCGAGATGCGGAACAAAGTGCTACTCGGGCCCCTTTTCCACCAGAGGAGCCATGTGTGCTTCTTTGTGCTCCTCCTTCATGGAGCTCCTTCTTTCCTCCTTTTTCTTTCGGGATCTCACTTCCATCCTCAGACAGTCTCTTTCATTTCTCTCCTTTCTGCTTTCAGTGCCCTGAAAGAGAAAGTTCAGAAACGTATGGAAATGTTCCAGCAGGAGAGCAATAAGACAGGATCATTCAGCAGAATGCAGTTTCTAGTAACAGAGTTACATAAACCTAAGGGTGCTGCTAAAGGTTATAATCAGAAATAAATGGGATCGAGGGGCCAGGGCACTAGTAATCTTGGAGGGAAGCTCAACCTGCACATGGCTGTGACTATTGGCCTCTACCACCCCAAAGCATGTGATTCCACAGCATGATTAAATTAACAGGTTCCTGGTGCTTTTTGGTAAACCAAGTAAGGTGCGATATCATGTATGGATTTAACCTCCCGGATTCACTCCCTTGGATTGTGTTAGTACTAGGGTTTGCACTGTTTTAATGTAAAGTCTGCATGAGGAATGGAAGCCTTGAGGAATGGTACTCAACCAGATTAGCATTCCAAGAAAGTTACTAGATGTGAGGAGTCACCATTTATTCACTGATCTACTGAATACATCTCATTGTTGTTTTGGCATTGAGATTCAGCACTAAAGAGAGCCTACTTCCTAGAAATTACATCTCAGAGGAGGGATGCAAATAATCAATAATTAAGCATAAAAGCAAACAAAACATAACAAATAGCAGTCAGGGCAAGGATAACTATAAACAGAATGAATCTGGTCTGGGATCACCTCAGATAAGTTTTTTTGGGATCCCCCCATTCAAACTACTGGACTCAGAAGCCCAACATGGAGAGAATTGTAGGTTCCATGGTAGGACCATGGAGTCCATGTGTCAAAGCTGAGCTGCCTCAGTGGCTCAGATGGAGCAGTAGACAGCATATCCAGGTGCACATAGAGGATATAGTGGTACTTTGGAGCCTGCAGAGGACACCTGGAACCATAACAGAGGACAGAACAAATTCATCAACTACCCCATCCATGTGCTGGCAGTGAAAATCTGGGCAAATGGAGACACTAAGGTGGACTACGTCAGCCAGTGGATTCTGGAGAAATTTCATCGTGCTTGGAACAGCAAGATTGGCAACAACTCAGAACAGCTGAACTATTGAAACCACTTGAGCAGTGCCCTTGGAGCATGTCCCACATCGGGGACTTGGGATGGTTGGGAAGGTAGGTATGGCTTCTCCTCTTATCTGTCCCCTTCCCACAGAAAGTTAACCTATTGTTTGGGATGCCAACATCCCGTATCGGAATGCTGGTTTTGATCACTTGTACCAATCCATCCTCCTGGGAGGAAGCAGAAGATGACTCAAATATTTGGGTCCCTCCCACCCAACTGGCAGACCTGGAGTGAGTTCCAGGCTCCTAGGTTTGGCTTGGCTCAACCACTATGTATTACATGCATTTAAGGAGCAATATATTTCTCTGCCTTATTCTGTCTCTCAAACAAAAGGAAAACACATTTTAAAAACAACTAAATAAGCAAAATCATTATTCCTCCCCATTTGAAGTGGAAACATTGAGGAACTAGAAGTTCTACTCAGAGACCATTAATAATGATGGGTGGCAGCCTCATGAACAGGTCATGACTTGACTTTGTGAGTTTACTGAAATGATATCAGCTGCCCTGTGATGCTCCTTTACTCCCATAATTGCTCATCAATTAAAGTCAGAAAGAAAAATACACAATAAAGTTTAATTACAAGTGAACAGTAATTTAAATCTTGGACTGGCTCTAAAAAGTGCCTACCAATGATGTTCATTAGCTCTATCACTTATATTCCCTTGATCAAAATTCATATTTAGCAATCATAAATGTCTCTAATACTCATCAAACCAATCTAATCAATAAAATATAGTGATGATTATTTCCAATTTGGTTTTTCCACTGTTGAAAATTAATGCTGACAAATGTATGTGTTTTCTTAGCCTCATGATTTAAAAATAAAATATGAAAATTTTAAGCCAGCTGATTTTTTTTAAATCAAAGGAATTTAATATCGTTGTTCCTAATTAGATCACAAACTGGTCTTTCCTCTTTTTTATTCTGAAATATGAAAAAACATCTCAGTATGTTAGTTTTAAAACAGCAATTCTTTCACTTGTGGTATATTCCTACCAAAAAATTGATAAGGAATTATCAGATAAACCCAAATCAAGAGCCATTCTTAAAAGTAACTGAACTGGGTGCTAGTCTTGGGGCACAATAAGTTAAGCCACAATCGGCAACACTGGCATTTCACATGAACACTGACTGATATCTCAGCTGCTCCACTGCTGGTTCAGATCTCTGCTAATCTGCATGGGAAGGCACTGGAAGATGGTCCAAAAACTTGGGCCTCTGTCATTCACCTAGGAGACCTGAACGAAACTCCTGGCTCCTGGTTCCTGGCTTCTGGCATTGGCCATATGAGGAGTAAACTACCAGAAGGAAAATCTCTCTGTGTATATCTCTCTTCCCCTCTCTGTAACTCTGCCTTTCAAATAAACAAACACATAAAATAGATAAGTCTTTTAAAAATATATAACTGGATTGTACTCTTCAGAAAATATCAATGTCATGAAAGATATGGCAAGACTGAAAAATTGATGCAAAGTTAAACACAAAAAAATAAATCACAGGGAAAAGAAAATACAATGCAAAACATTATCTGTAATTTTGCTATAAAACAACTAATAAATTTGAGTAGGTTTTACAGATATTGTATAAATGATAATTTCCTGAGTTTCAGTACTACATTTCCTTGCTTGAGGCTAGGAAAAAAAAGAATGCAGATAAATCAGATAAATCTATTAATGTGTTAACATTTTTAACATTGGGAATCTAGTAAAGCCTGTGTGGGAATGCCTTCTACTACTTCTGCAACATGCCTCTAGTTTGTAGCTATAGCCAAATAAATGTCATAACTAAAAGGCAAAGCAGGAACTTCTAATTAATAAGGTTAAACTCAGCAAATGACAGCTGTTAACTGTTCTTTCTTCCTTATTCCTCTGAGGGTTCATTGGAGAGGGAGCAGCCTACTGAAGCTGAATCATAGGTACATAGGTACACAGGTACATCGGTAACCTGTGCAAAACTGAAGTGTCACTTAGAAGGCAATGAAGGATGCCCAGTTAAACAATGAAACAGGAAGCACCAAGCTTCCTTGCCCTGAGCATTCACAGAATCCAATTCAGGAGAAAGTATCTGCTTTATCTACTACATGGCAGCAGCATATTATTCCTGTTTTGCAAAAGAAACCAACAACCCACAAAAAAGTATTCCACACACCTCCATTCAGGATTCAGTGAACGTACCACATAGCTTAAGTGTTGCCTTTGGCATCAGTCATGGAGTTTCTGATCAGCCCGATTGCAGGCCTCTCATTCTCTTCTTGTATTTAGGAGTCCTCCTGACTCCCAAAAGACCACTGTGAACATCAGGACTATTTCTACCTCTGGATGCTCACAAGAGAGAGCCAAGAGAGTTCCTGCTCTATGTGTTTTTTACTACTTAAAGACAGGGGAACACAGCACAATCACATACATTTTTCTTTTCTCCAAATAGTAAAAGGAGAATGCAGCACAGTTATTTGTACTAAAATGCAAGAAAGCAGTCCCAACAACTAGGGGCCTTTGGTAACAAAGGCATTCTTCATGTGGTCCCTATGGATATTCTTCCTACACTGGATAACATCATAAAAATAACCATTAAAGATAGTGTGCTCAGGGGACTATCTTAAATTAGGTGCCATTCCCCAAAGATCTCCTCAGGCTGTTCCCTTCACACTTGAGGAAGGTGTATCCCTTGAATTTCCTTGTACACATTGGTTTAAAGATTCAATAGCTCTGCTACATACCAGAGAGAGAGAACGTTTAGTTCTGACACACAGTTGTTGCTCAGAGGATAGTGAACATTCCTGAAGTTTGGACTGGGGTCTTTCTTTTGATTCCAGTGGCTCCTTGACTGACCCATCACCAGAACATTTCCTGTGATCTCGCATGTTGCTACGACGTCGGAATTCCTGGTCCTCATGAGAATGTCTTCTGGGCTGATGGTCAGGTGATGTGACTTGTGGAAGAGCAGGAAACTGGGAATATAAAATTTGAAATGTACCATATAAATAAGAGACTCACAATATTGGCTCAGAGGTGGAATGCAAACTCCCAAGCAAGCAAATCTCAGGTAGAATTCAAATTTTATATTCTTGATCAGTAGGATCAAGTAGAGGAGCCAGCATGGTGGCTAAGCTGGCTAATTCTCTACCTACAATACCAGGATCCCATATGGGCACCAACTTGTGTCCCAGCTGCTCCACTTCCAATCCATTTCCCTTCTCATGAGCTGGGAATGCAGCAACAGGGGATGGCTCATCATTGAGCTCCTACAACCACATGGGAAACATGGAAGAAGCTCCTAGCTTCAGATCAACTCAGCTCTAGGCGCTGAGGTGATTTGGGGGGTGAACAAACAGATGGAAGATCTCTCTTCCATCTCCGTAAATCTGCTAGTCAAATAAAAATAAACAATTTTTTAAAAAGCAAGTAGAATCAGCATTTTTGCTTTTTACTGTGCTACACAGGAATTTGACAAATTTTAATAAAACCATAAATGTTTAAGCGGTAAGTTTATACTGAGTGTATGAGCTCTAACAGCCAATTCCAGCACCTCAATCTAGCTTCCTGCCAATGTAGACCCTTGGAGGCCACAGTGATGGTTTAAATCACTGGGTCCCCAACAACCTCATGGGAGATAATGATTAAATTCTCAGTTTCTGGCACCTGCCTCAATCCAGACCCATCTGTTCTGGGCATTTGGGGAGAGAAACAGTGGGTGGGAGATGTTTCTGTCTCTGTCTCTCCAACAAATAAAAAATAGAAAAGAATAATATAAAATTGAATATGTAACTTCTGTTGCAGAATTAATTTCTAAGCAAAAAGCAATGAAAAAGTGTAAGGAAAAAATCTAACTATAAAAAAATAAAGCAATGATGTATCAAGAGCAATATAAACAAAATGAAACACAAGGTTAAAATGCTTCAAATTTTTCAATTTGTATTGCTAATGCTTAATAAATATTCCAAAAATAAGTATATACCACCTACATTCAAACAGAGGGATTATATAATACAATGACAACAATGCTAAAATCAGAGCTGGCAAATGAGCAAAGGACAGACAATTCAGAAAAATCAAATTCCTTGAAAAAATTATGACAAATGTTCTTTCAATTATCTTATTCCTAAACAACTCCACTCAAATTCTTGCATTCCTAATTAATTTTGGTCAGGATATTGGTCTCCATTTTACTGATTATGTATGTTTTTTAAATCTATGTATTAACCATAGCATTAAACTCAGCTATTCCCAAGGAGCCTTCTGGAAACACTCTTTCCTTGTTTGTTACCATTGCGTCTCCTTGCCTCCTCTTTGATCCTTCTACCACTTGATTTGAACATATTTGTTCACTTCTTCCTTTTATCTGCTCATAACTGATGGAGCTCTCTGAAGTTCCGGGCTAGTCTTTCTGATCTTACTTTCATTCTTTAATTGACACCATCCCCCTAAACATCACATCCCTGGGCTTCATTCACCTTCAAGCTATAATCTGACTTTTCCTGATTTGCATCATTAGCCCAGACAGTTTCCCTGAGTTTCTGCCAATTCTGTTTCTCTTCTGAGTGTCTCATGGGCACCCAACTTCAAACGTTCAAATCTTTCCCCTTCAATACTGTTCCTCCAATGCCCCTAAATCATCGTATGGCACTAGTTACTCACCACTCAAGCCAGTAGGTTGGAGGTCCACCCTTCACATTCAAAGACCAAGTCAGCAGTTTCTACCTCTTAATTGTGACTCAGAATTATCCATTCCTTTCCAACAGAAGTGCTAGTCCTCTGGTGGAAATCATTATCATTTACCTGGATTATAGTACATAATGTTGCAGAGAACAAGAGAGATCACAACGGACATGAGTGTGGGATTTTAGGACTCTACTTGCCAAGCCTTGACAATGTCTTACAAGAATAAATTTGGACATACACACAAAGACACACCTGGGATGCTTGCTCAGAAGAAAGAGCTTGAGGATAAACAAGAAGACTTCCAACTACAGTCAAAAGAAAGGGGCCTCATGGGAAACCTTGATCTTGAACTTGCCAGCCTTCTGCACTGGAAAAAAAAATAACTTTCTAACTCAGCCCCTGCTGAAGTACCTGGGAGATGGTCCAAGTCTTTGAGCCCCTGCCACATGGTGGGGAGAAACAGACGAAGCTCCTGACTCCTGGCTTTGACACGCCCCAGCTGTGACCATTTGGGGGTGTGTGCCAGCCAATGGAAGTCTCTCTCTCTCTCTCTCTCTTCCTCTATGTGTGTATGTCTCCTCTATAACTCTGCCTACCAAATAAATAAATGTTTTTGAAAAAAGGAAAGAAAGGGGAGCTGGTGCAGAGCAAGCTAACTCTCTGCATGTGGCACCTACATCTTATATGGTGTCAGTACAAGTCCCAGCTACTCCATTTTCCAGTTCCAGCTGCTGCCGCCATTTGCGAAACAAACCTGTAGATAGAAAACCTTTCTGACTCTCCTTCTCTAAAACTCTGACTTTCCAACAAAAATAAATAAATTTCTTCAAACTGGAAAATAAATTTCTGTTGTTAAGTTATCCCATTCGTGGTAGTTTGTCATGGCAGTTCTAAAAAAACTCATGTATCTGGAAACTTACACACAAATAATAGAGAGCTGGGCAACAATTCATAAAGCTGCTGTGACACTTGAGGTAAATCTGTACTATTAGTCCATTTACTATAGGTCCTTCCCAGTGCCAGGTGCTGTGAGTCAGGTACAGAGCAAAATGAATACAGTGTCACCTACTTGGCACTCAGGTTTACATATGGAGAGAGCCATTAAAAAGAATAGGTCAAAGGCCTATGGCTTTGTAACTGCTATAAAAGCAAAGTTCAAGTTACAATGAGAGGGCAAACAAGGATAAGCTATGTGCAAGGGTACTTCAGTAAGTTAACACAACATTGAATTAAAAAGATAGGGTTTCCTTGGTGAAACAAACAAAAATTGAAATGCATGCAGTTTCATATAGCACATTTTCCTTGAACTTTTTGAAGACCCTATGCATACAGGCATTTCAGAGGGTTTTTGCTTCACAGTAAACTTATCTTTGAGTTCCTCTTTCCACAACTTTTGAAGTACAATATATTTGTGTAGGTGTTGAGTAGCCTGGGCAATCCAGGAGACACCTCTGTGCATGTGTAATGATTAAGCAACAATCTGAAAGATGAGCACGGGTTAATTAGGAGACTGGGACAGCATTTCTCTCAGAGGAACTACCACAGGAGATTGTAGCATGGAAGGAAGCCTTAGTGGGGCCAAGGAGTGCAGAGGGCCCAGGGGGAAGGAAGAGGGCAGACAAGAGGTCCCAAAGGGCTTGCAGTAGGGCAATATCTGAAGACCTGCAACGTAAAAATTTTTCTCTGTGACATGGAATCATCTCTTTCCTCTTTTTTTTAAATTTTTCTAAGTTTTCCACAGTAATCATGTGTTGTATTATCAGAACAAAATAACACTTTTTAAAAATTGAGACAGTGAAATACAGATCTTTGTACCAAGATTCTCATCTATAAGGGAGGCTGAGAACACGTGCCCAGATTTTTGCTTACAGAAACATAGACTTCATGGCTCCTTATATCAGATACATGTTTCCATTTGTTCCTTGGCTTTGGTGAAAGACTGTGCAAAACCCTTAGCTGGTTATGGGGAAAAGCTCTCCTTTTCAAAACGGTTCACTTGAAGCGTAACTCCTTCACATAAGTTGCCCCAAGAAGTCATGAAAATTGTTGTAAGGAGCTGTTAACAACACTTGCCTCTCTCTCCCACTCTGTGAAGCAGGTTCTGACTCTGAGGTCAGATGCTTCTCACCCTGAGCTCACGCTGGATTCCTGGCCCATGAGGCTACAGGGTTCAGAGGGCACTGCCTGAGCAGGCAGTGATTTTCCAGTGTCCAGACTCTCACACAGAGGAATGCACAAAACAGCCCAGCCACTTCCTCTCCACCATGATGGCAGAACAACAGGCTAGTTCTCACTGAAAGAGAAAGCGGTGGGGCTGGTGCAGTGGTGTTGCACGCTAATTCTCAGCCTGCAGAGCTGGCCTCCTATATGAGGACCAGTTTGAGTCCTGGCTGCTCCATTTCCTATCCAGCTAACTTAATGACCTGGGAAAGCAATGGAGGATGGCTCAAGCCCTTGGGTCCCTGCACCCATGTGAGAGATCTGGAAAAGGATCCTAGCTTAGGAGAATGGAAGATCTCCCTCTGTCTTCCTTTCTCCCTCTCTCTCTCTTTCTCTCTCTCTCTCAACCTGATTTACTAGTAAAATAAATCTTTTTGTTTTTTACATGGCACATTAAAGGAAAAAAGAAAGAAAGAAAGAAAGAAAAGGCCTGGCACAATGGCTCAATTAGCTAATCCTGCTCCCTTCAAGCGCTGAGATCACATAGGAGTACTGCCTCAAATCCCAGCTGCTCCACTTCCTAACCACTTTCCTGCTTGTGGCCTAGGACAGGAGCAGAGGATGGCTCAAAGCTTTGGGACCCTGTACCTGTGTGGAAAACTGGAAGAAGCTCCTGGCTCCTGGCTTTGGGTTAGCTCAGCTGCAGCCATTGCAGCCACTTGGGGAGTGAACCAGTGAATGGAAGATCTCTGTGTCTCTCATTTTCCATATAAATCTGCTTTCCCAATAAAATAAATAAATAAATAAGTCTTTAAAAGAGAGAGTGGTTTACCACTCTGTATTTGCTAAACTCATAAAGGTACAAGAGTGAACCCTGAGAGTCTGTGGCCTCTGGGTAATGATGCAAATGCAGGTTCATCCCTAGCAGCAGAAGCACCACTCTGGTGCAGGGGTTGATAATGAAGAAGCTGGGCTGGATGACAGTACAGGGTAAACAGGGAAATCTCTGTACCTTCATCTCAATATTGCCAGGAATCTAAAAGTGCTCTCCAGCACCACCACCCCCAAAGTCTCATGTTTAAGTGCCAATAAACATAAAAGGAAGGAGGGAAAACTTTACCTCCTCACCAGAGTTTTATGCCTTGATGTTCTTTACTCTGGCTTTAATTGCTGTCACCCTTCAGTTGTATCGCTCTTGTCCTCAATGAGACCCTCTGAGAAGAAAGATCCAGATGCCCAATTATGAGACCCCGGCTGGGTATTAGTGCACTCAGGAAACCAGATCCTTCATCTCTAACAAAACAAAGTCTCCATGGGATTCCTTTTTCTCCTTTACAGCCTAGTGGGGCTAACTGACTCACCTAATTCTTACGTGGGTAGTGACTTTAATGGAGAGATGAAGTGACACATCTATGCGTGTGATGCCTCATTTTTGGATTTGCAATCCTAAGCTTTTATCTGCAGCAGCAGAAAGCAACTCTATTTCTCTGTGAAACTTCCTGACAACATGACTTGTAACATCAAAGGCAAAAACAATTTCAACCAAATTCTCTGACCAAAGTAATAATAATAATTTGTAGATCTAAAATAACTTTATATGAGGAATATTTTATAATGATCTAATACCATCTCCAGAACCAAGAAGAATATGTGTTGATTAGCTATGCATACAAATAACATCATGAAAGACAAACATCAGGTATTTAGCTAGTAAAACAGTAGATCTTTTAGAAGTCATAGGGAGGGGCCTGGTGCAATAGCGTAGTCATTAAGGTCCTCACCTTGAACATGCCAGGACCCCATATGGGTGCCGGTTCTAATCCCGGCAGCTCCACTTCCCATCCAGCTCCCTGCTTGTGGCTTGGGAAAACAGTCGAGGATGGCCCAAAGCCTTGGACCCTGCATCCACGAGGGAGATCCAGAAGTAGCTCCTGACTCCTGGCTTTGAATTGGCTGAGCTCCAGCCATTGCGGCCACTTCCTCTCTGTTTCTCCTCCTCTCTGTGTATCTGCCTTTCCAATAAAAAAATAAATAAATCTTAAAAAAAAAAAGAAGTCATAAGGAAAAGCTTGGTAACATGCAGTTGACATTCTTTTAAAAAATAATTTGGAAGGAATGCTGCATGTAAATGGGTCAGAAAAAAATTAATAATTTGGGAAATGAACGCACACTGCTTTGACAAACTGTTGCAGAGTGAATTGATGCAAAACTGCCACTAAGACCTTGTCAAAGTAGAGTCATAGGAGACACACTAGATTCCATGACACGTCATGCCTCAGCGCCTGGCAAACTTCTGCTGGGAGACAGGTTGAGAACTTATTTCACACATTCAGAAGTTGGAGTAGTCGAACTGAACCCATCTAAACTACATGTCACTGAGATTATAACCCTAAGTGACAGCAAATTCAGTCTTGCCTTGTAGTCCTTCTCTACTAGCTCTCCTTACCCATGTTCTCATTACAAACACATATAAGCCAAATTGGGCTGTCATTAAAAAGAATCATAAACTCATAAAAATGGATTCCTCCCAGTTCTGAGGCTGAGAAGATTAAAAACAAAGTTCTGGTTGCTTGTGTTTCTGATGAGGGCTCTTTTCTTGTTGCAGAAGGTTGTCTTCTCACTGTATCCTCACCTGACCTCCTCCCTCTCTTGCAAAACTCTAGCTAGACATTGAAAAGGCAGCAAGAGAGACAGACAGCTACCATCCCTTGGCCCCTTTCCCTAAATATCCAAAATGGCCAGAACCAGGCCGACTGGTTTTCTCCAACTGGCAGAGAGCCAACATCTTGAATCATCACCCACTGCCTCCCAGAGTGTATTAGCAAGAAGCTAGGATCCAGAGCAGAGCCATGACTCAACCTCAGGCACTCTGCTACGAGATGTGGGCATCCCAAGCAATGTGTAGTACATACCCTTCATGATGTTTTCTTTGAGTTTATATGTCAGGGGTTGGTGGTCAGGCAGAGTAAATAAGAGATTATAGAGAAAAAGAGAGGGAGAAAGAAAAGAAGGCATTAATTCCATCAGACTGCAGCTATACTATCATGATCTAATCTAATCCTAATTACCTTCCAGATGTTCTATCTCCAAATATCATCACAAAAGGATTAGGACTTCAACATACGCATGGTGGGGAAAGTACAGAACTTGTCTTATGCTGATCTTCAACATTCCACTGTCAGATTAAAGAAAAACCCTACAGCATGAGCATCTGGCCTACAGGTTTAAGATGCCCCGTTCCTGTGTCGAAGGGCCTGGGTTTCATTCCAAATCTGGCTTGATTGCAGCTTCCTACCAATGCAGAGCCAGTTGAGTCCCTGCCATCCACGTAGGTGACCTGGATTGAGTTTCTGCTCCTGGTTGCAACCACAGGCTTATCCCCAACAGTAGCACCCAGCCTTAAGTAATGCACCAGAATATGGGAGCTCTCTATTTCTGTCTCCAACAATTTCTTAAAGAGAGAAGCATTCAACATATTGAGTAAAAAGGAAAATGAAAAAAAAAACCCAGAACTTTTGGCAGAAATTACCTGCAAGTATCTAGAAAATGATTCTAATTTTCATGATCTGTGATTAATAATAGTAACTACTTTTTAGGCACTAGGCATTGTGCTAAGCACATTTCACCAAAAGCACCCAGGTATAGATTCATTTTACAGTATATAAAGGTAAAAAGAAAAAATTCTAAAATATCCTGAATTTATTCAGAGGGAAAGAGATAAAGGAAGTTTTTCAATTAATAGCTACAGAAGAAGCACACACTAGCAAAACAACAGAAATTTAATGTATGTTGGATCCTTGACTTATCTCCCATCAAGGTCAACCAGCAATGCCACAGCCTTGCTTACTTATCAGTTCTGCAGCCTGTTAGCCTCAGCTAATGCAGAAGCAACAGCCATGTTGCCCACACGGCTTCCCACCCCAAAGCATTCCCCATGCCATCCCACCCCTTTTATCTTAGCAAAGGTAGGTTCTGTGCAGACACAATGACTTCCTTATCCAAATTTCTAAAAGTATTCTGAGATCTGGATTTTGTGGACTTTTCTCCAACTGCTGTTGAGACTGGTTGCTGCTAATTAGTGGAAACTTGTCCCCAGACCTGCTCCCTTTTTCAACAATAGCTTAACAAACCCTTTTATTTCAACAGTTTTTAGTCTCAAGAGTTTTGGATTAACAACAGGATGGTTTAAATGGAAAAGGAAAGAGGGAGTCTCAGTGTAGCCAGGGCTCTACCCCTGTTCTCCTGGAGTCCTCTGATCTGTGATCTGTTGCTTGTATTTTCCCTCTCTTCAGTCAGATGGTCATATTTATTTCATGCTGTGTCTTCCTAAGTAACTTTCTGCATGGTTACCCTGATAACTATGAAGCTCATTTTTGACCCAGGGAATCCAAATGGATTGATTTAACCAAATGCTCAAGGCAAGGTCATGCAGAAAAAGACGTCATAAGGACACCATTTGAAAAGTTACACAGAAATTCTGTTATCCTTTAATCATTTAAAATAAATAATTTTGCAACCTAAACAGATTCTTTAAATAGAATGGATTATCTAAATTTTCAATGTCTGAGAAATGCTCGAGTTATTGAAGAAACTGTGTTTCATAAACCATGTTTCCTCCTTTGTTTTGGCATTTCCCAACACTGGAGCTAAAAATCAAGCCATTACTCTAAACCCCACAACAGGAGTGGGGACTTAGGAAGTAGTCTCTGGTGACTGGGATGTTAAGTGGTATGTGAAAAAGGAAAGCTATGTGATTGCTGTTGGGTGATGGTGAAGCAGCAGACATACCTGGTTAGCACTGCAGTGGGACAGGAAGAACTGCTCCTTGCACCTGCCGCTGTGTCACCACACCTGGCTGGCCCACCCAGTCCCTTGCTGGGATCTTGCTCCCCAGTCACCAGATGCTCTGCTTAGCCAAGGGAAATAGGACTAAGAACAGGAGAATTTGGGCTCCCTCTCCCACCAGGGAATCAAGGGGACACGGGAGGGGAAAAGCGTCTCAAGTCTATCCAAAGTTCTACAGAATCTGTTTTGAGAAGGCCCATGGAAGCATGGGGCTCTTTTCAGAATTTCAAAAAGGAGATCACACTTTGATCCACAACACTACTCGACTATCACATCTGAAGCTTATTATGAGCTCCAAGTAGCAGCTAAAAATAGCTGCGATCACTGAAAATGAAGTTATCTTTACCTAACGCACCAACGTTAGGCCCCTTAAGGGACAAGATGGAATGCAAAAAAGGAATGATCGTGGGTATTCACAAAGGAGGTTTGGAAGGCACTAATTTGAAACCAAAGAACTCACTTTAAAATGAGCACAGAACCTCCCTCTCCCAACCCCCATGACAATAACTCACTGGACAGGGCAAGGAGCCTTTCCTGTAACTGGCGTCCCGCGACCGGCGCCGATCCCGGGCTGCTCTCTCCTCCTCCTCTCTCCAGCTGTGCCCCCAGAAGCTGCTCATCCATTTGGCAAAAGACACATCCTCATCGTCGTCATCTTTGTGCTCCATGCAAAGGTGGTTCAGAATCTTGAAGGCCTGTGCCTGAATCTGAGAGCAGACTAGCACTCAACAGGGCTGGCCTGGTCAAAGGCAGGACCTCCCTCAAGACAAAAATGAAACTGGTCTTTTTCAATGGTCTCCGATAATGGCATCCTTAAAGGAGAAAGATTTACTAAACAACCACTTCATCATCAGGCAGCCTTGGGCAATGTCTATTTATAAATTCTGCAGCCCACATTCCCCTCCCCCCTGTCTTTTTAAATTGAGAGGCTTTTTAATCCTGCCATGGCTGGGGCTTGTGCCTCGAAGCCTAGGGGTAGGAAGCACAGTCCACTGCCTGGCTTTCTCTGCGTTTTGCAGCCTATGGCATGTGCTGGCATCTCCAGCTGTCAATGATGATGGAGCATGACCCTCATAATATGCCTGTCAGCTCCAGGCTTGCTCTGAAATGAGGCCAGGTACAAAGGGACTGACTGACTGCAGCTTGCAAGGTGGCTGGCCACAGGCAAGTGCTAGCTCCAGCTGGATAGTCTCTTAGTAAATCAAATGGATATTGATACAACATCCAGTTTCTGGATCAAAGGGAGCAGTTTTTTACTGAAACATTACTTATACATATATGCCTATGTAAATAATATTATTTACATATGTAGGCACATGCAAAATACATAAATGCTAAATGCACAGCCCCATAAATGTTTGTGTTCAGTCTTGTGTTACCACCACATTGCAGGTGAAGACATGGAAATTTTCTAGCACCAAACACGCTTCCTCTATTCCTTTCCAATTCATACCCCTTTCAAAAGGTTGCCATTCTGATCTCTGCTTCCATAAATGTGGCTTATTTTGGAGCTTTTTTTCAATAACATTATGCTGGAAGATTATTTTGCTATCACTCAACATTGTATTTGTGAGGTTTATTCATGTATTTGTAAAAACAGTAGTTCATAATGTATAATAAGAATATCCCATGATTTCATATGTATGCATTTTTTGTTTAATTAGTTATTTGTGCCTGCCATTTGGGTTGTTTCCAACTGTGACTATTATTTTTTAAAAGCTTTGATGAGATAATAGTCCATCTTTTATTAGGCGCTTTGATCAAGGTAGAGAGACGAGAGTGTTTATGCAGCCCTGATTTTGTGTGAGGAGCCAAGTATTTTACATGTGCCACTTTCGCTGTAACAACCCTCTGGTTGAGACATCTGTATCACACTTCCTAATTGAGAAAATTGAGATGCAAATATGCCATCACCTTTCCAAGACACAATTACTGCTAGGCAGCACAGACAAGTTTGAAGCCAAGTTAAGGACACAAAGTCCAGGCTGTTCCCAACATTCTGCCATTGTACCAAAGAAACCTTTAGAAAAGCTTACATTTCAAATAGATAGGCGATTTTTGCCTATTTGCCATTTGAAAATTCTCTTTGAACTGCAAAAAGAGAATATATCTCCAGCATACCACGAATATGGTATCACGTGAAAAATGCTTGTTTATTACTTCGTCATATTTTTACTAAACCAGTGGAAGAAGCCAGCTTCCCAATGACCTTGGAAAATATATGACTATGTATTATAACCATAGCTTGCCTCTGTTATTAAAGAAAAAGGATAGCTTATCTTCAGAAAACACAACCAAATTTATCAATAAAACATCCTATCGCTAAACTCTTCACTTTCTTCCTTCTTTCCTTCCTTTCTTCTTTCCTTCCTTCCTTCATTTGTTTATTCATTTATTTCAAAAGATGGAGAGACAGAAGCAGAAAGCGAATTTCCAGCCACTATTTTATGCCCCAGATATCCCCAAATTGGTGCTGTGCCAGGCTGAAGCCAGGAAGCCAAGAACTCTATCTGGTGGTATCCCACAAGGGTGGCAGGGATCCAAATTCTTGCTAAGGCATCACCCTGTGCATTAGCAGAAAGCTATAACTGGCTTGGAGACTCAAATCCAGGCACTCTGACACAGGGTGTGGCTGTTGTGAACGATGTCTTAACCATGGTATCAAATGCCTGCCCCAATGTCATCTTTTAAACAATTAATTAAAACATCATCATATGTTCAGGAAACGGTCCTCTGGCAGGACAGAGGCTGTTTAGCTTCAGAAAGCCTTGATTGCGAGGTTGGCCACTGGCTGATATATGGGAACTTGGTTGGTAAACATTTTCCCACAGAGACCTAAGACTTCCTCCAAGAGATAAGATCGGCTCATAGTTTCTAAACGAACACACAATGGGTTTTACCCTAAACATCTGCTTCCTTTTTGGGAGCCTGGAATTTTGGTATGTGGTAGGCCCTGGCTATAGCTTAGTTCAGGATGCTAAGCAAAATACCATACCATGTATGTTAAACAACAAGCAGGAATTTCTCACAGTCCTCAGGGGCTGGAAAGCTCAGAATCAAGGCATCAGCAAAACCAGTGTCTGGTGAAGATCTACTTCCTGGCTTGAACACAGCTGCCTTCTTTCTGTGGCCTCACAGGACCAAGAAACAAACATCTCTTTTGTCCCCCCCCCCTTTTTTTTAATTTAATTTTTTTTTAATATTGGAGAGGGTCAAGATATGGAGGAAGATGGGTGGGACAAATGTTTCAATTTCTTCTTATATATATAGTATATATTTAATTTTTAATTTTTCATTAAACAGTTCCATAGGCTCAGGAATTTCTCCTTTCACCTTCTCCATTCCTTCCCAATTTTTTCTTTTCTTCTGTGTCCAGAGTAGAGGAAGGGGAGGGAACGGTTTCTTGCTATCAAACTGCATAAGTACCCAAGAATAGGGGAAAGTCATTTGATGGTGCCATATAGTCCCCATTGTAGATTAGAGTTCTGAAGGTGTTACTTGAGCGGCTTTGCTAGTTCTTTTTTTTTTTGGTGGGGTTATTATTTTATTATTATCATTTTATCATACAGTTCCATAAGCTCTAGGATTTTCCTTCCTCCCTTCCCCATATTCCCTCCCTCCCACTGATTCCCCTATATTATTACAATAGTATAGTCCTTCATAAAGGACGTCATAAGCCTATCATTCTGCTGTTCAAGCGTATCCTGACATTGTAGGTAAGGACAGTGGTAGGTAAGGACAGTGACAATAGGTAAGGACCTATTGTCAAGATATTCAACAGTTTTATCGGGAATTCATCTTTGATTTAGAAGTAGATATGCAGGGTAGTGCACACAGTTTTCCTTACCAGGTTTGCTCCCAGCATCAGATTTTGCACCTGCCTAGGGATCCAGCCTGACATGACTCACACCCAGTCTTAGCTCTTGCCAGTGGGTACTGCAACCTAGCCTGGCTGACCCATACTCATTTGAGCTCTCATGCATGCTAACAGGCACAGTAGCCTAGCCTAGGCTGGCCTGACCCAGACCCAGCTCTCACACTAACCAGTGGAAGCAGCAGCCCAAAAAGGGAGTCCCTGAAGTTCTCCTACCAGGCCTGCTGCCAGCCCTGGGTCTTGTAAATGCCAATAGGTGCTACAGCTGAATCTAAGATGGTTTGTCTCCAGTTTTAGCATTCTTCAGCAGGTGCTACAGCCTGGCTCAGCCTGGCATGCCTCAGTCTCAGCTCTCACTGGCAGGTGCTGGAGCCTAGCCCAGTCTAGCCTTGTACAGTCCACACCCTGTACTGATTCTTGTGCATGGAAGGAAAGAAGGAAGGAAGGAAGGAAGGAAGGAAGGAAGGAAGGAAGGAAGGAAGGAAGGAAGGAAGGAAGGGAGGGAGGGAGGGAGGGAGGGAGGAAGAAAAAGAAGAGAGGAAGGAAGAAACAGAATAGGCAACTATACTTGCACACTGGTATAATAAACTGGTATAATAAATTTGGCATTAACCATGCCCTCCAGTTCTTGGCTACTTTTCTCACAATATTGTAACATTTGCCTAGGTACATGGCAACCTAGACAGTTGCCTACAGCTGGGCTCTTTTGTCCCTTCTTTAATGGATACTATATTGGACTTCTCCTGAGAAACAGTGAAACAGGATAGTGAAAGATACGGAGACAGAAATGAGCTAGAGGTAGGTAGAGCTAGGGATAGAGGTAGTGCTAGGGACAGAGACAGAAATGGAGTGGGAGGTACAAGCTGAGATAGAAAGGCACTCAGAGACAGAGGTAGAGTGGGTAAAGAAAGACAAAGTTTCTTTTATGGGGAATTGATTCATGCAGTTAGGATGTTTGGAGGTCAAAGACCTGAGGAATCATGGGAGCCAACAGTGTTAATTCCTATTTGATAACAAGAAATGAGACAAGATGCCCCAGTTCACGGTGAAGCAAATAAAGAAAGGTGTTAAGCTTCTTCTTTCTTCACCATTTGTTAAATTCCTTTCAATATGATGTTCACTCATGTTGTGTAAAGCAACCTATACTTCCTAGATCAACAAATTCAGATGCTGTTCTCATCAACATCGTGACAAACACATCCCTAAATGCTTAATCTGGATCTGTCATGACCAATCAGGTTGACAGAGAAAATGAACTATCAGAGGTACTGAATCCCATTCACTCTTCCTGTAGAAAGCTGCAAGTTGCGGGGCAAGACGTCCTCCATCCACTTCTGGTTGACTAGGAGATCGCTTAACCCCTTCCTAGAGAGAACTCATTCACTGTTAGCTTGTGCTCAGCTTTCCAGATGACTTAAAATTTGCAACAAAGGATTGATTGTCTGACCCTCCTTCACCCACTGCTGTCCTTCATTAGGCAGTTTGATTAGAAAATGCAGCTGTCCCAGACAGAGATTGATCATTTCCAGGCTGCTTATATAAAACACACACACAATCAGGACGCAAGGGGGAGGAGGTGTGTGTGCATTACATAAACAGAATCTGAAATTTTTTGAAAATTTAAAATTTCATCCTAGACATTTTCATATATATATATATCAAGTTGTATGCTAATTTTTTGTCTCTTGCACCTATGCCTTCCTGATAAAAGATATAGATGAGAATAAAAATGTTGTGGGGGGATGTAAAGCCATGATGTCTGAATAAGATATACTGATTCTGCAATAATGTGAGTTAAAAGAAAGAGAAATCCAGCACCTGGAGAAATGTAAAGGCAGAAGGGCATTAGTAATCTGTTTTTCAGAACTGCTTCTGAATCCCAAGGCTCTGTGAAATCTTAAATCCAAACCAACTGCTAAGCCCATGATCACACCTAGCAGCTCTGACTATGAGACAGCAGGATATGGAACCAGGTTCCATACTTTCCAAGAACACAGGTGCTGTGACATTCAGGAGAC